AATTCTCAACATCGAGTGAATCACCGTGACGAAGTGCGGTCCTGGATGTCAACAAAATCTTCAACTTTGCCGATTTTCCTCGATCAGTCTTTGGACCAAGAAGTCTCTGCAGAAGCGTCACAAAATTGGCTTTCTCTCCATCTCCAATCATAAATTGATCAACATTATCGAGAAGTAACAGGATGTCGCTTTGGCTGTCTCGCTTCAGTTGCCGCATTTGACCAATGACTGGATTCGCTTCGTAGCTTACTACTGTTCGCTCCGATCCCGTTAATGCATTCAAAACGTGGAAGTGGACGTCTTTCATCTCATTTATGCCTCTCAAGTCTGCTGTAAATTTTCTCCCTGGCCACTTCGATAACGTTTCTATGGCCAGCGTTGTCTTGCCTACCCCACTGGTTCCGTACAAGTTAACAACACTCGAACTGCCTGTTGTTAGCTTTGTCATAACTTTCTCCAAGTCGCTGTCTCTGCCAGTCAATTCGTCCTTCGTCTTTACCTCTCGCAGACGGATTTTTTTGAATGCTTGAATCTTTTCTTCGATTCTGCCCTTCTTGGATGTTTTTGGAGTAACAAACCTCTCTAATAAAGTTAGATTGTCTTCAGACACGAAACCTTGGTTGGCAAATAGATGCAGACATGAATATAAATCCTGCTCTCTTTGATCCTCGTACTTGCCTTTGAAATTGCTTTTGATTGACGACACAGCATGCTTAAGTTCGTCCGGGCTCAATTCAGTAGTCACATCCTTTAAAAGTTTGTCAAAACGAGGAGAAATCTCTCCTGTCGACGAAACGGTCTCGGGCGACGCCATCTTTGACAATGTTGTGACATGTGGCTCCACGATGCATACATGTATTTAAATTTATGCGGAAGTATAATTAGTCTCCTTCGCTGTCACGCGAAGGTAAATAAATCGGATATGATTCATAAAAAGATAACGCCACTCACAATTCAGTTAATTATGCATGAAGGTTTAAGAAAATTTCGACACTTAAGCCTGGTTTTCACTAGCGACGCAAGCACAAGCGCAAGCAACATACGCAGACGCAGTAACGTGTTGATTTGTCCTAAATAAAAGGCACTGATGATCAACGCGTTACTGCGTCTGCGTATGTTGCTTGCGCTTGTGCTTGCGTCGCTAGTGAAAACAGGCTTTAGCCATCGTTATCCATTCAATCAACTGATAAGGTCAAAACAAATGCTAACAGTTACCGGCAATAAGTGCGAAACACGTAACGTAAGTTAGCTAAAAACTCACGCGAAGATTTATTAATTAATTTGAGCTTGCATGTACTCGCTGATTTTATGACAGCCGCCAACCTAACTACTGATACTCCTGAACATATTTGGCAAAGTCACGGTGATTGGACAGTTTGTTTTCAACCGACTGCATTCGAATGGGTTCTTTTACTTTTATGGAAATGACAAAGGAAACCTGTCGTTTTAGCTACCAAAACGTTTTGCAAATTGTCCTCAAATTTTATGATTTTGTACATATTATTTTTAAAGATATTATAAACTACATTCGATTTTGAGACGACATTACGGCTTTATAATGACGGCTAGTTGGGAAAAAACATATTCCGTATTGGGCGCCCAATACGGAATATATTTTCTCCCAACTAGCCGTCATTATAAAGCCGTAATGTCGTCTCAAAATCGAATTTAGTTTTGTATCGCGATTCAAACATTTCTGGACAAATTAAAAGGAAAATGAAGATCAGTTGTTGTTGATTGAAATATAAATTCCCACTATACGCGACGTAATGTACACGAATACTTGAACGCGAAAGCATTTTATCGTTTCGAAGAAAGTCGGACTTTTTTCGCCGATTAATTGCTTATGGAAACAAAAACAATTCAGAATTATGTCCCACAAGGTTTGCTAAAGTACCAAACAGCAATGAAATGGGAAAATAATCCAATTTTGCACCGAAAAAGTTGATTTACAATTTAGCGCGTGCACATCGCGAAAGCAAGTGAAAACGGTAAACAAACTCTTACAAGTAATAAATGACTTTTAATACTCACCATACGCTAACTTTTAGATTGAGAAAGTTGTACCGGCGAATAAAGCACTCCATAAATGAGCAAATGACAAGATATAAACGATTGCCGACGAGTTAATCGACGAAAACTTTTGAATTTTGATGCGCACGTGAGGAACCCATTTCAGTGCCCCGGTGCCAATCTGTATCTTCAGAACCAATCACCGGCCCGCATTTGAGACGACATTACCGCAAAATAATGTCGTCTCACTCGTAAGCAAAACTATAGGTGGATCGTGATACAATATGATATTACGGAATTAGCCCGGAGGGGAAGGCACTCTCATATAAAAGTGATGTGGGTAATTGTCATGTCGTACCATTTAGGAGTTTCGTGATGTGGTACCGCTTGGGGTGGAGGGTGGGGGGATAGCACTTTGTTGGCATTCTATTCATTTTCAATTTGAATTGACGGAGATCACGTCATCTGTTCCTTCTTTTTTGGAAAATTTATATCTCGGTAGACTGCAAAACAGTCGCGATCGTATTTTTGCGTTGGTCTATACGAATGCGCGCGGTCTTCGAACGAGACTGGAGCGAGTTACGTGTGAAAACGTTTAGTTGGACTGGGGGGAGACGCCACGCTTCGCGCGCGAGGATCCACGCTTTCGGCGCTTCGCGCCTTGCGAGCAGTCTACCTTTGCAGTCTACCTCAGTAGGACATTGTCGATTGCGATGCAGTAGAACCCCGCTAACTCGAACTCCCAAGGGAAGCAAAAAAATAGTTCGAGATAGCGGGGGTTCGAGTTAGCCGATAGTAAGTGGGGGCGGGGGCCGTGATGGGCTGGAGTACGTTCGAGGGGGCTCGGTAGGCTCGGTTACCAGCCGCTGTTCGGGAAAATGAGCCCACGCTCATCCCCCGGCGGAAATCGAGCCTAGATCTACTGCATATATTATTCAATCGGATCCCCGCTGACGCCGGCAAGCTGCCATGCAACAATCCCGGGAACAATCTTGTCGCACTGAAGTGAGCGATAGCCCTTATAAGGTTACACTGGGTACACCTTGTATATTTATTTCCCTGATATGCGTATAAAATATTCGTGGGCAATATTCTTCAAGGTCTGGAGGACCAAAGCAGACATGACATAACACGTGGCTTTGTAGTCACACACTTTATTACCATCAGTCTTTACAAAAAAATGTTACAATATAGAATTAAAAGACATAAATAGGTAATGTGATGATGAATATATGAATGAAATCATATATATATATATGAATTGCGGAAATGGAATGAAATAAATATATGATCATCGCAGTTGTGAATGCAATTTAAGCAATTGCAATTTTTAAGCCAGAAAAAAAATATATGCGATGATCATATATTCATTTCATAAATAGGTAATGTTACCCAGACTAACTGAAAAGCTAATCAAGCTGAGTAACAATAAATAATATTTACACATAGAAGATCCAGGTTGGCAAAAAAGCTTATAAAGGTCATAAAGGTAAGAAAAATAAGTCTGGGATCGACATGTGGTGTCTGTTAGCAGTATGGAATTTTTTGAGGAAATAGAGAGGTCGATCTGTTTAGGACTGTGGGCTCAAACGTCCGTACAAAGAAAATAAATATACAAGGGGAAAGAACGAAACGCAAAATTCTAAATAATCTCCCTACCAGTAGGGCATAGAAAATGTATTCCAATTTATTTGATAGCCTTGGTGAAGAATCAGTCGAAACTAATAATTTACTTCGAGAATCTTGGCGTTTGAAATAAACGTTTTATTTACGGGCTAGGCTATTTTTTAAAGGCAGAAATGACATATTTCCTTTTAAAATGAACAATGTTTCATTTTAAACATTATACCCATAATCTGATATTTTTTCTTTCCGCAAGAATTAGACATCTGACAGGTCCTGAAACTACGTTTGTTCCTTTAGGTGTAATAATTAATCGCTCTGCCAAATATTGTGGCATTTAACGACATAGTTCCTGAAATATTCCAGTTTCCTTACTATTGCAAAGCGCAGATCTGTTTCTTTTGGCGCAAAACTATAAGTTTCTCCCTGCTGAAAATATTCTACTTGTATTGAAAAAAAATACACGTCCGCCAAAAAGTGAGAAGTGTGAGTTTCGTGGAGTCGTCCCTGCCAGGGGCTCCTGTCCCTGCCCACCCCAAGGAGGATGAGGGGATCTCAAAAGCCAACATTTCTAAAGGGAAGTATGAAGCTAAACTGAAAACTTGGGTGGGGGGTGGTGGGGCTGTGGCTGGGGCTGGGGGGGGGGGGGGGGGGTATGGATATTTTCTGGGCCACACGATTCCAACTCGCTTGAGTCCCCAATTAATTTAACACAATAATTTCCCTGGTGCTTATAGCAATCTGATTATTTCTTGTGGAGTAGCATCTGTTTGTGTCATGTCTTGTATCTTTTATATATCTTTTTCACGAAATTTTGTAGCGGAATTCCTAGTGATATCACCCTGTCTCTCATTACTGTGAATTGTCCTGTCACGCTAGTCGTACATTGTCACTCTCCTGGTATCTCCATAACACGGCCACAATTAAAATGACGACGCTTGTTACAACAATCCGGAACCTATAAAGACACAAACGCAACAGTTTTGAGTACATGTCAAACTACGTAGCAATTATTTATGTCTGTCACGTAATCGTTTCTCCCCAACGAACGGTCAATGGGAGGAACGTTTGCGTGACCAGCCAAAATAACGTCTGCATACGGGGCATCGGTTAGCAAGTCGACAGGTTTATGCCATCGCTTTTATTGGCACAAATCAACCGGACTAACCAGTTTATATCCCGAGTGACTGGTTTGTACTCAGTGCCCCAGTAGGCAGATATTCAAAGAGATGCACACTCCTAGAAATGAGTTTCACTAGAGCTAACTTTATCGAGTGCTACGGCTCACACACTTTGTTCACATTGGCGGCATATCTCCATTAGCGCGAATTCACTATCTAAATTACCACGACCAGCTCCCATCAGGCTACGTAGCTCAGTTGGTTAGAGAGACGGTGATCTAATCCGGAGGTCCTGGGTTCAAAGCCCACCGGGGTCAAATATGTTATTTGTCCCGGCGGCCCAATTCTTTCTAGGGCAGTAGCCCGCACTCTCTTACAGCTGTTTCGAGAAAGGTTGTCGGAAAAAAGCGCACCGACAATCCCGAAAGGTATTGTGGGTAGTTTTAAGTTCACGGTTCCTTGACTTCAGCATTTCAGGGAAATCTGAGAAAATGGCACGAGACGCCATGGAAGTATGTTTGCGAGTGTTAAAAGAAAGCAACAAAAGTAGGTTCGACAGCTACAGTGTACCTTGCTGATCGTATCCCAGATTACCTTTCGGGATTGTCGCGTTCGCTTTTTCCGACAACGTTTCTCGAAACAGCTGTATATCTTCAAACGCGTGCTACGCGGCTCGCACACTTTGTCCACCAGGGCGAGACAGGGCGTCGAAACGCGCTGACATTGCTTCGGCCTCTGATGCGGAGTGGCCTGGGTCTAGTCCGCTCGTCCCGTGTTTTGGTCACAAATACGGAGGAACTAATTTGAAGGTAAGCCCGAACTTAATGCTTTGTAAAATTAAATGTAGGTAAAATAGCAGCGATCAGATTAGTTGTAGTCAAACAGTGGTAATCATAGAGGATTGTCTGTGGGAAACTTATGAATAATTGTCGTTTTGAAATCGTTTATATTTTCTCGGCCACAAAAATGACGCCCGAAGAAATAAATTTTAGTGACGGTCAGAGTATTGCTTCCCAACCAAAACCCAATGTTTTCCAAAAGCTAGTTTTTTAATATTAAACAGTTTTGCTTATTATCGTCCTCCTTAATAAATTTATAGACTGACACTTCATGACACTTTTGAGTTTCGAAGACCCAAAGTTTGACATGACATTCGATATTATAAATTGCCACAACATGTTTTTGTATTTCTGTTGTACAATAGGAGTGTTCACTGTTTACAAAACATTACGTCAAATTTGTTTTGTTATTCAAATTTGCCAACTATTTAACAATTAGATTATTCGCTCTCAATTTCTATGATGTGATAGTTGATGAGGCCGTTAAAAATCATAACAATTGTCTAGTATTAACTCTAAATCTTCTTCCGAAACTTCGGAGAAACGAGAAGAAACCGCAATTTTGTATACGACCTCCAGCCACTGCACACTAATGGCTGATAGTGTACGAGTAGCTCAACCAATCAGATTGTCTCATTTGCATTAGTATACTGGTACATTTTTACTAATCAACAATAGAACTCTTTGTTTCAACAGCTGATCACGTTTCCGATGGTTGGCACATTAATAACAATAAGTGACGTAACGAGAAATATCGCTATTTGAATGAAATGTACAATATTTAAATCAGACATCCATCTCGTTTATTGATGCTACATGTCGATAGAGGGAACAATACGTACAACAGCATTAATTAAACAAACTAAAATGAAGTAGACAGAGATGCCTTCGAATGGTTCTTGAATAAACTCTTAAGAACGAATGTCGCTAAGGATGGAGCCAAATTTGAAATGATCAAAATAAAGTTCCCTTCATGTTTTGTGTATAGTCAGCCCTTGGGGTGGAAACATTCTTGATGATATTTTTTTCACCTCCTGCACTAACCTAGACTTGGGATCAGAGGGGGGAGCTCGTGCCCAAAAATGTATTTTTTGAGGTATTTTTAACCCTGAAAACTGAGATTTTGTTAATTAATTCTCTCAAAATGCAAGAGACTGGTTAAAATTCTGCTGACATCCTGGTATAATATCATCCTTCCACTCTACAAAACTGGCAATGGATTTTCAGTTTTGTTCCCTGGGGGCCCCCTGGCGCCCTGTCATTTGTAAGGGGGGGGGGGGGGGAACCCGCCTTTTTAAAAAAACTGAAAATGAGACATCTTTGGCTAAAATCAAATCAAAGTGGTATTCATATTTTGATCAAATTTGAAGTTGCAAATGAATATTTCGTCCTTTTTCAATCTTTTGGTACTGAATAGTCTGCGGGCACTCAATTATTTTTTGCAGAACACACAATTTATAATTCATCCCACGGCAAAATGTTAATTTTACGTAATTTTTAATGCCCACTTTCTGGGGCTTAAATAATGCTATTTGTAGCAACTTACCACTACACTGTTTCTCTATCATCGATAATTTGAAAATATTTCACTTTTACAGCTTACATTTAAGCAACTTCAGAAAAAAAAATGTTTTGAATAGCACATCCACTGGTGAAACTGTTAATTTATGCAAATAATACCACTCAAGTTATCCGCCAAAAAAATATAAAATTAGTGCAGGAGGTGAAAAAAATATCATCATGAATGTTTCCACCCGAAGGGCTAACTAGACACAAAAAAGGAAGGGAACTTTATTTTGACCATTTTCGATTTGGCTCCATCCTTAGCGGACATTCGTTCTTAATATGTAAATAGCCTAATAAGAGGATTATTGACTCATTATTAGGATCGGGCAACTCGTTTATTGATGCCCACGTTCGAAAATAAAGAAAGATAGCAGCGAACTAAGCAAGCAGGCTTCTGATTAGATATGGAAAGTTTAGATTCAACCATCTTTAGCTCTATCTGTCTTCCACCTGCCGTAACGCTTGAAAAGACGATCATTAACACCGGCATTAACGGCAGCAGAAGCGCCGCCAGTTGAGAAATTATGTAAACTAAACAATTTTTTAGGATACCCTAAATCAGCGAATGGTTGTAGAATTATTTCCCAAGGATGTTCTCTTGGACAACGTACGCCCATTTTGGAAAACGAGATTCGGGAAAACCCCACAAATTTAAAACTGGTGCCCAGGCTTTGGCGTCATGGAGTGTCCGCTCCGACCAACGCGTTTCGACGCCCTTTCTCTTTGCGCCCTGTTGTCCACTACAGCTAAAGGCCCGATCAAACGGTCTTTGAACATTCATTCAACATTAATTTTGTTGAGTCATGTCGAGAGATGTGTGCCGTAACATTTCGAGAACAAAAGAAATGTTGAGACACAGGGGGTGTCAAACGGCCTCGACATCGGCTATGTTGAGACAAATGTCGGGAACGTTTAATCGGACCTTAAACTTACCGCGTCCTTGTAAGTGGAATAACCTTTCTCGCTAGTGCTGTGTATATGATAAGTAAAATCTGTAAAATGGCGAGGACCATGGTCAGGAATTTTGATAAAAGCGCGTTCGCCTGAGCGCTCTGATCCAAGTAATCATCCAGTCCTTGGCTTTGTTGCTGTAGAGCTTCGATTTTCAAAACCTGTAAATATAATGGCCAATATTGTAATGATGTGATACCATGTTTTAATTAAATAAAGTTGATGATGATGATGATGATGATGATGATGATGATTATGATTATGATTATGATTATGATGAATAAAAATAGATAACAATGTAGAAAATGCTAACCATGTTATTTTAAAGTCAAGAGAGGATGATCTAAGAGAAGGATACCCCGTGCCCAATGATAATTTTTTGAAATCTATTAATAGTTTTGCACATTGCTGTGAAAGTTATTTTTATTTCCTTCTGATCGAGGCTCCGACATCACGTTACTCGAACTGACCAATCAGGTAGCGCACTTAAAATAGCTCAGATATTGACTGAAAGTTAAATATAGATTCAGAAGAGACCCATGTATGGGGGAATGCTTCTCTTAGAACATCCTCTCTTGATCAAGTAGATTACATTGAAATTCTTACTTTAACACGCCGCAAAGTCACCCAGCATTTATTGAGCGATCGCTGCCATGACCAAAACAACCAAAATGTACTACCTGAAACTATTCCCATGACTTTCTACTAACTTTGGACATACGTGTGTGATTTCGTTTACTTTATATTTCTACTACAAAATCGGGGTGGTCATGCATTGATCTGTTTCGCTTCGTGATACGGTCAACTCTCGTTATAGCGGACACCCTCGGTCCGTATTAGCGAGAGTCCGCAATAGCGGCGTGTGAGGAAAAAAATTGCCGTTAAATAATCAGAGTCTGGAAAGAAAAGGCGCAAGCAAAGTGAAAAAGCAAAGTCCTGTACCAAGAAACCGATGCGAAAATAAACATTCCAGAAGTCTTTGGAACTGTGTTTATACAAGCTGACACATGACAAAGAACAGACAGTAGTTAGTACATACATATGTTGTATGAGAAGTTCAAGATATCCGCTTTATCTACAGTCAAAATAATAATGTTATGTTGGTACAACGAAAGTGTCCGAATTTCCGTAATAGCGGGAGTCATTTTCAGTCAATCCTCTTTCGCTTTTGCCGGGGGGCTGGATTTTGTCTGCAATAGCGTGTTTCCGTAATAACGGGTTGTCCGCAAGGCGAGAGTTGACTGTATATGTTCCTTCCTACCACTGATGTAACTGACCCTACAGATTTCAATTTCAATCTACTGCGACTGACTTCACAAGTGTACACATGTTGTCTTACCTTTGTGTCGTGAGGGTCGAGAGCTTCCTCGATCTCGCTTGCTCGCTCCGCTGACCGGTATTCCACCAACTCAATCCGCTCCTCGGCTCGTTCAAGTTCTTGTTTTACGGCTATCATCTGTCACGAAAAAAAATGCGTTACAGGTGTTATCACCAGTGTTATCACCAGGGGGATCCTAAAAAACTTGCGTTACAGGTGTTAGGAAACTCGTATGAGAACCAACTCTCAGCAAATTTCATCCTCGTTTTTCCCTTGAGTCCTCAGTGCTGTTGCATTTCCAGTCCGTACTGCGCATGCTCAGGGTTTGTTTTTATTTTTGTTTTGAATTTGTTGATACGTGTCATACGTTACACTTTGGTGAAAGCGTACATGAAGTTTTTGAGTCCGCCATTACAACGGGTCGTTGAGTTCCTGAATGCTCCTCTTCTGAGAAACTTGTTAGACGCGGAGGATGATGCTCCTTCCCATAATCCACCGCATCTAACAAGTTTCTCAAAAGAGACGACTGGGGACGAGTCAGTTGTGAGACAATGATTGTTGCCGCCATAACAGTTAATAGAGGGATAGGAAAACGTAGAGGACATACGGTATCTCTCTTGTGATCTTCATATATACTTTACCT